TGGGATATGTGGGTATTCTTTCCCTCTTAAATATAAATAGGACTATCGTAGGTCTGTAATCTGTATAAAGTGCCTCCCATCCTTGCTCTTTATACAGCACCGAAATTAAAATTTCAAAACCAAAACGAAACCGAAATTAAAAAAATGTCAGGCCAAAACCGAAAATGTTTTTATTTGAACTTTTTCACATTTTTTATGTATTTTATTTGGATTTATTAAACTTTTTAATATTTAATATTTATTTTTATGAATTCATTTTTTTATTAAATATTTTTTACTTTACTTTTAGGGGCTTTGGGGGAAATATTAGGAGTCTAAACTGACCTCCTGACATTTCCCTTTTAAAATAGAAAAAGAGATTGAGGACACAGAGTCCTCAGAGACACACAGAGTCCTCAATCTCTTTTTCTGTATCCCCTGTTATCAATGAACAGGAATCCTCTATACTGAGTGTTCCTGATCATTCATAACATGAGGACAGAGCATGTTTACTATAACCACAATCATGAATGAACAGGAGGTGATGTAGATCATTTCCCATTCATTCATAATTGGGGATATAGTAACCATACTCTGTCCTCAATTATCTACAAACACTCAGCGATCACTGATCACTGACTGCTTGTACTCCACTCTCCTCTCCGACACGCTGTCACAGGAGGCTGAGCGAGAGGTGCGGGAGGAGAGCTCATCTGACAGCTGTCTCCGCCCGCACACTGCTCTCCTCTGATCTGATCTGTGACAGGAGGCTGAGCGATTCGGGGAGGAGACGTCGGCCACTCACAGCGCTCTCCCCCTGCAGCACTCGGCCGCCTATGACAGTCCCCCCGCTGGGACACAGAGCAGCGCCCAGCGGGGAGGAGAGAAAGAATGAATGCGCCGCTGTATTGGCCACAAAAGGACACTTTTGGCATTTTGCCAAAAGTGCTGTTTTCGGCCGATATGATATATCGGTACATCCCTAGTATTTACGCTTTAATTGAATAAGTCTTCTTGATCAGAGCACTTCAGGGGGTCTAATGACTGGTGGGGTAATGATGATGATGAAGAAGAAGCAGGAGAGGAGGAGGATTCCCAGACCCACAGAATGGGTAATTTCTTCTAGGGACACTTAAGCTTTCCATAAGTTTCCTGTACCAAAGGAAATCTTCCATCTTTGAGTTTAGTTCCTCGTTACCGAGCTGAGGGCTGTGAATCATTGAACGGGTCATCTCTGGAAATTTGCTTTGTAACTTTTATATCTGTTTTTAGTTCCGTTCCTCTGCTGCTCCTGTGTTCTATTTATTGCTTTCCTTGACGCTGCCCCCCCAGCCCTGGCTGCCCACTGCTCTGCTTCAGTCAGCCTTTCCCTGTTCGTGTCCCAGAAGTGGGAGTGCACCTCCTATTGGTACATCTTTGGCTTTTGCAGGTACATGATAAGGGGGTTGGGGGGCAGTGACAAGATAAAGGATATACAGTCATGTCCAATAACATTGGCACCCCTGCATTTCTGTCTGATAATGCGCCACTTCGCACAGAAAATTGTTGCAGTTACAAATGTTTCGGCATTCTCATGTTTATTTCTTTGTGTTGGGATGACACAAAATGACAGCTTTTTGGTGCAGCCCATCATTCTACTGTGTTTAGAAAAAGAAATGAGGCCTTTATAGAAAAAAATCTAGTCCCTACAGTCACACATGGTGGGGGGGTCACTTTTTTTTTGGGGTTGCTTTGCTGCTTCAGGCACTGGATGTCTTGACTGTGTGCATGGCGTTATGAAATCTGAAGACTACCAAAGAATTCTGGGGCGCAATGTAGGGCCCGGTGTCAAAACGTTGGGTCACCATCAGAGGCCATAGGTCTTCCAGCAGGACAATACAACAGCAAAAAGATTCCCAGCACACTCGCCAGCCAGCATGCAAAAAAACTTGTCTAACAGCTAAGGTTAAAAACAGAGGTTTAGTTACACGTCTTCTGCAGAATATGTGAAAGCCGCACAGCCGCGCCAAGGCACCTCTATATAGGGCGGTCCTAACTCTAACCTATGAGAGTCTCCATCTTGGAGCACATGTAGCAAAAGATAAAATTAGGTGCAGGTTCGCCAGAAGGCAGCCCAACCTCCTTAAAAGCACAGGGACACACAAGGGACCCCGCACATCACAATGGCAGCTGAGACCCCCAGTGTGTCACTGCACAAAATCAGTCATGCAACGAGGCAGTGCGGCTTTCACATATTCTGCAGAAGACGTGTATCTAAAACCTCTGTTTTTAACCGTAGCTGTTAGACAAGTTTTTTTTGCATGCTGGCTGGTGAGTGTGCTGGGAAACTTTTTGCTATTGTATAAAGCCCTTCCATGTGCACCTTGCTGTAAAGCTGGTTATAAGTTGATGAGTGCGTTTGCCATTTGTTTTGCTTTACAGCAGGACAATGACCCAAAGCACACGTCAAAAAGCCCCCAGACGTGGTTTCAGATATAGCGCTGGAGAGTACCGGACTGGCCAGCAATGAGTCCAGATCTGAATCCCATAGAGCACCTGTGGAGGGAAATGGAACCCGTCCAATCTGAGAGACCCGGAGCAGTTGGTGAAAGAAGAGTGCTCCAAAATTCCTGCAGAGAGGTGGAAGAAACTCATTGATGGTTACAGGAAGTGATTGATTGCAGTTATTTTTTTCCAAGGGCTGTGCTGCCAAATAATAATTGAGGGTGCCAATTTTGTCCAGTCCATTTTTGGAGTTTGATTTAGCTTTGTTTTCTCTCCACTTTTTGTGTGTCACCAATACAATACAAACAAAAGAAAAAAACATGAGAGTGCCGAAACATTTGTAATTGTAACAATTTTCTGCGCGGCGTGGTTATTATCTGACAGAAAAGCAGGGGTGCCAATATTTTTGGCCAGGACGGTAGATGATAAACTGGATGAAGTAGAAAGAGAGCAAACAGCTGAATTGCATGACCTCCGCCCCTGCTAACCCTGACCTTTTCTGTCTCCGCAGCGCCTTCCCGGCCTTCACCGAAATAATCATCTTCATCGCTGTGCTCGGATTTAAGCGCAAACCACTCTGATTTCACTTTATAACCGAGCTACTGTCAACACTATCCATAGGGTACAAGCAGCAAGCTTCATTAGGGCCTATTCACACTTCGGCACTTCGGCACCATTGTGCAACCAAACCTCTTGAAGAGTTCAGTACAATGGTTTTCAATGGTGCAGGTCACACTGATGCATTTTTCGACAGTACGGCAGTTCAGTTTCTCCCACTTTAATAGTTTTGGATTGGGTGGTGAGGGGTTAGAACCCCCGATCAGGTTTTATTGCTGCCTGTGTCCTCATTCAGGAGGTTTACTCTCTATGAAGTGGAAGGAAAATCTCAGTTGTCATCAGAGCCAGAGCAGATCAGATGCGCTGCCTGGCTTCCTGATTTGCCGGGAAGCTGGGCACCCTGTAATGACGCAGCGCCCGGCATTCTGATTGGACGGGAAGCCGGCTTCATGCTCCCTCGTCATCTCATGGCGAGGGAGCATGGAGCCGGTCAATCAGAAAGCAGGGAGCCGCGTCATTACACGGCTCCCATGATTGGCCAGCAAGATGGCTCCGGCTGGGTACCGGAGGAAGGCCGCTCCTGGCTGGAGAGGCCCCAGGGGTGACGGGCTGGACATGCCGAGGTGGGAGGGGACAGACTTTCTTGTTAATCAGGAAGCCAGGTGGTGAGTCATTACACGCCACCTGGCTTTCTGAATGGGACTTCCGTTACTCGGTAATTGGTATCGGCAAGTACCGAAAAAAAATGATCGGTACTCGGTACCAAAATACCGGTATCGGTGCATCCCTAATTATTATACAGGATTTATATAGAGCCAACAGTTTGCGCAGCGCTTTACAATATAAGGAAGACATTACAGTTACAATACAAATCAAGATAAGATGGTAAGGAGGGCCCTGCCCCTGAGGGCTTACAATCTAAAAGTATAATTTGTACACTACACAGCAGTGATCTGGATGTGGCATACACCTCATTAAAGGTAACAGAATTTTTTCGACTCACCATAAATGACAAAACCCCCCTTTGCCAGGAGTTCCACTTTAAGAATGATAATGGATAAACAAACACACGTATAATGCACTTTACAGGCATTTTAATAAGTAGCTGAACAGAAAAAAAACAGAAGTAACCTACCTCTGCAAAACACCAAGGGGGCTATTTATAAACTATTCTCAGGGCTGTCCACTCTGCAAATATCTGTGAACATTCATTCTGTGCAGACATACAGGTGAAACTCGAATAATTAGAATATCGTGCAAAGTTCATTTATTTCACTAATGCAACTTAAAAGGTGAAACTAATATATGAGATAGACCCATTACATGCAAAGCAAGATAATTCAAGCCGTGATTTGTCATAATTGTGATGATTATGGCTTACAGCTCATGAAAACCCCAAGAACCCCAAATCCACAACCTCAAAAAAGTAGATTATTACATGCACTCAATAAAACAAGGATTGTACATAGAACAATATCGGACCTCTGAAAAGTACAAGCATGCATATGTACTCAGTACTTGGTTTGGGCCCCTTTTGCAGCACTTACTGCCATTACTTTTGCACGATATTCTAATTATTCGAGTTTCACCTGTATGCCAAAACATTTTTTTTTTACTTGTTTCTGTTTTTTTAGTGTAATATCACTTTATGGCCACTAGATGGAGCTGAGGAGCATAGAAAGCGAAAATCTTTTGACGATGCTCCTTTAGCTCCATCTAGTGGCCATAATGTGATATTACATGAAAGCATTAAAAAACATAAAAAAATAAAATATATTCACACAAAGCGAATGTTCACAGACATTCGCAGGACAAATTATTATTATACATGATTTATATAGTGCCAACAGTTTGCGCAGTACTTTACAATATAAGGAAGACATTACAATCACAATACAATTCAAGACAAGATGGTAAGGAGGGCCCTGCCCCTGAAGGCTTACAATCTAATGGCCCTACGAATTGTTTATAAATAGACCCCTTAGAGAACATGCATTACATGGAATTCCAGTGCATATGAAAGGCAACACATGAATAAAAACACAAAAAAAGAGTAACATTAAAGCGGACATGTCCCCCCACGTTGGATAAAAATCTCCTTTGTCACCCTGATCGGAGAGATTTCCTGATCTCAATGAAAGGAAGGGAAATCTCCCTGATAGGGACACAGTCTAGGTTCAGGTTTGAGCTAGTTTCTAGGAGGAGGGGGTGGCTGTTGGGTGCAAAATCACTGGGAAAATGTACATTACATGCATTTTTAAGGAGCTCCCATTGAAGTCTATGGAGCCTGAAAAAAGTTTATGTACTTTTTTGAGTGCCGGCATAAAGCTACCAATGATAAAATGCTTAGATGTGAATGGGCTTCTTTGAAAACAATGGGTTGAGTTTTGTCGTTTACATGTGACGAATTGTTCAGGTGTGAACAGGCCTAAAAGGTAAAAATATTGTTGAGGTGTAGACATCAGGTGACTGTGTTCTTCAAGTCAATTCCTCTGATAAAAGGGGGGGACTCTAATTATGTCTTTGAAGCCTCTCAGATTTTGGATCTGACTGTACAGAGGAACTCAACTGACCCAGTCAGCAGTAAGCTCTACCCCATCCTGGCATTAAGATGCCCTTCATGCCAGGATGGGGTAGAGGCCCAGGAGGGTGAAGCAGGGAACTGGGGACCAGGAGGGCAAGGCTGAGAACTTGGGCCCAGGAGGGTGGAGCAGGGAACTGGGGACCAGGAAGGTGAAGCTAGGAACTGGGGAGCAGGAGGGTGAAGCTGGAGACCAGGAGGGCAAAGCTGGGAACTGGGGACCAGGAGGGCAAAGCAGTGTACTGGGGGCCAGGGGGGCGAAGCTGGGAAATGAGGACCAGAAGGCAGAGTTGGGAACAAGGGGGGCGGAGCTGGAGACCAGGAGTGTGGAACTGGGACCTTGATGGCAGGAGGGTTTGGAATTGGTTACCTAAATATTATCTGAAAAATTCCGGAACCTAGGGGGTTCCTCATCCTGACCTCAGCAACTCCACAATGTTCATGCTGAACTATTGATTTAAAGTTATTTTTCTACCAGTGTTTTCTAAGTTGACTTTTGTATTTTTTTTTAAATAAAATGTTTATTCTATATATTATTACAAGTTGATGTTTTAAATATTTAATTTGTAACAATTTATTGATTTAAAATGTGGAAATAGAGCTATTCTGTTTATTTTACCTGGTGGATAATTCCAGTGGCGTATCCAGGGCATGGCACATACCCTGGGTGCCACTTGAAGGAGGACGCTGCTCCGTGGGTCAGCTCTGGGGACTCTGATGCAAAGGGGGCTCCAATGTAAGCCCCCCCCCCCATGTTTAATCAGAGTCCCCCCCTTACATCAGAGTTCTGAGAACTGAGTTCTGAGTAAGGGGGCAATGGAGACTCTGATAAAAGGGTAAAAGGGAGGGACTGATGAAAGTTGACCGACCCAGAAGACAGACTGTCTCTGTCATTTTTCAACTCCTTGGTGGTTGGTTGTTGGGACCGCCTGGCGTCCTAGCAACTAGGGATGCACCGATAACCGTTTTTTTTTTTTGTATCGAATACGAGACCGATACTTGGCTTTCGGTACCGGTGCTTCCACTGTCATGGAGCCGGCTTCCTGGGCAATCTGATTGCCCAGGAAGCTGGCTCGATGCTGTTTGGCCAGCTTGATTGTGCTTACAATCAGGAAGCCGGGTGGCGAGTAATGACCCGCATCTCGGCTTCCTGATTGGGCGGCAAGCCGGCTTCCCAGCCAATCAGCATCAAGCCAACTTCCCAGCCAATCAGGAAGCTGGGCTGCGAGTAATGACCTGCCTCCCAGCTTCCTGATTGGCCGGGAAGCTGGCTCGATGCTGATTGGCTGAAAAGCCGGCTTCCCAGTCAACCAGCATGGAGCCGGCTTTCCAGGCAATCAGGAAGTTGGGAGGCGGGTCATTACTCGCCGCCAAGCTTCCTGATTGGCTGGGAGGCCGGTTTCCCGGGCAAGTACAATACTGTGTGGGCTTCTACTGGCATGGAGGCGGCTTCCCGGGGAATCTGATTGCCCAAGAAGCTGGCTCCATGCTGTCATTATTCACCGCCCAGCTTTCTGACCGCATGGGAAGCTGGGTCCATGTTCCCCCCAACGCACTACGAGTCAGAGGAAATTTTCCTCTGACCGGAAGTTCCAGTATCAGAGCATTTGGGTGGGTACGAGTACTCGCCCAAACACTCGGTATCAGCACAGATACCGATACTAGTATCGGTGCATCCCTACTAGCAACCAACCACCAGCAGCCAAGGAGTTTAATTATTACAGTGGCAGTGCGGACGCAACAATGAATAATGACAGCAGCAGGCAGAAAGCTCGGCTTGTACAAAGATCAAACCCACAACCTTGTCATTATTTGCACCACATTATAGCCCACTGAGCTAACCAGCCAATATCTGTAGGCCGGGCTTTGAGTTTAGCAGAAATTGGGTCACAGAAGTCCCCGAAAAACACAAGAATCGAGCAGGTGCCTCATCCAGCCAACAAATGCTCCATAAAGTTCATGCTGAAGTGTCGCTTACAAATGACTTTTCTACTAATTCCTACTTTTCTAAGTTGTCTTTTGTCTGTTTGTTAATAAAATGTTTGTGTTTTATATTATTACAAGTTGAGATGTTTCTAATGATTTCTTTGTACCATTTTATAGAATGATTTAACTTGTGAAAATGCCTCGGCACGCCAGCTGCTGTGGAACTACAAGTCCCATGAGGCATTGCAAGGCTCAGGCATGATAGGATTCGTAGCTTCACCACAGATGGAGTGCTGAGCTTGCCTACTCGTTGCCTGCCTATCTATCCTCTCTTCAGCTCACTTACTGGACAGTTTACTGCTGAATCTCAGATGACACACGTCTCTAGCACCAGCTAGGAAGAGAAAGCTTGACTTCTATGTAGACAAATCCACGACCTCGGCATTATTAGGAACATACGCGAACTGGCCAAGCTAACCAGCAGCTGATGTTAGCAGAATTTAGCACTCCTGACCCAGGTTTGCAGACACTCAGTATATAATTCTATATTT